TCCGGTAGCACATGCTGTAAGAATCGACCATAAGCATGCTCATCCAAACGTAGTGGAAGCAAATATGGCCCGATGATATGCTCGTCCACAATGCCGCACCAGATGTTAATTGAAAACTGATGTTGGTCTCTATGGATGGCTATGGCATGAGGGTTTTCTTCATCCCAAATGTGACTGTTACGGCTGTTAAAATAACCGTCCTTGTAAAACAGGACTCTCCAGTGAACAAAACGTAGCGACCAAGTTTGGTTGCCTCAACTCCTGCTGCAGCCACCAACGACAAAAACGTCGACGCGGCAGATAGTCGTCTGGACCCATGGCTTGGACTTTTAAAAGGTGGTATGAGTGTAGTTGCTTGTCATGGAGAACCCGCCAAACATTAGTTTGAGACGCTCCCATTTCATATGCAATAGCACGCACGCTTGTACGCGGATTGGCCTCTACATGATGCAGAATCGCTTCCTCAAATTCTACTGTGCGCCTCGTGAAGGGCCGCCCTGTTCCCGCGAGGTGTCTGATGCTGCCGCTGACTCGAAGACGTCCATGAATCCTTGCAAAAATGGCGTGATGCGGATGAGGACGTTCTGGAAACCGTTGGACGTAGATTCGCGAGGCTCGTCTTCCGTTACCACCAGCTTCTCCGTAAATTATATGCATATCCGCAAGTTCCGCATACGAATAACGCTGCATTTTAACACTAAGGTACTGTTATTACTATCTAGTTTGACGCACCACTCAGATAAATTAAATGAAACGGTGTGGAGAATTTACGATAACAAAAATGTAAACACAGCAGGCTTTTTTTTTACAAACCGGCGAGACCATGAAATGTGCTAGACGAACATTTTGCAGCTGGTGAATTTTTTGTTTCTCCTATGAGCTCTTAAGGTAAAATTAGCGGTAGTGCTCAAACGGCATATTTACGAACAGGGGTTTATAAGGCAAAATTGCATATTTTTATGCCCTCTACAACCCCTATCATTTTGTCGCAATAATTATGGAACACCCTGTATATATATAGTTTAATTAGTTTGTTATCTTGTTTTTGCATCAAAGTAATCACAGAATGAAAGAATAAGTCCTTGATGTAAGTTTAATGCAAAGAAGCAATTTTTAAAAATACGTTACATGAAACCTTGTGTCTTCAATTGTAGGAACGACTGACGATACGGCCCTTAACTCTAAAACATTCAGTTTTACCGGCCTATTGAAAACTCCCACTTCCATGACACTCTTGTATGCATATCGTGCGAAACGAATGATGTATTTATTGAATCACATGCCATTTCTTTTGGCGAAGCAATAATGTCTTTTATGAGGTCAAATTGACTTGATCTCTCTGCTGCTAGCAGAATGACCATGGTCGGAATACTCATCTGAATATGCAAATGAACAAATTGTCGACGGCTGGCGCGACGTTGCGCTAGGTCAAGTTCATGCGTTTCACATTATCATCAAATAGTAACATTGCCGTACGAAAAGATACAATGTCAATTGTAAACAATACTGTAGTATCTATCAATCGATATGGAAATCGATGAATGGAAACATCGTGAGCACAAGCAGTTACAATGGTATAGTCGGGTACAGAAAAGGAAGAGAGCAGCAAAAACACGTCGCACGCTACTGCTCGCGAGTATCGCGCCGTATTCAGAGATGCCGCGATGACAGTGGCGTGCGATGTGTTTTGCTGCTCTTTTTCTTTTCGGTACCCGAGTATACACAGACAGCTACAGAATTTTATTAGTTTTGTTGATTCTCGTTCGAGTATTCGTTACTGTAATAATAATTATTATAATGTCGTCTGTATTTACAAAGGTACAGAGGTGCTATTCATTATGGCGAAGTTTAGCTAAAGCTATTCTTACACTTATCCATATGAATATGAAAAAAGATGGTATAGGAGACACAAAACAATAAATGTTTGCTATTGCAATGCCACAATACGATTGAAAGCAGTTAAATCGAACAGGTAACTAATTCAAATGCCCACAAACATGTGCGCCCATAAACTAACATGAATTATTAACAAAAATTGTACAAAGAAAAGAAACATTATAAGTGATCCAGTGACGGAGTATTCTAATACGGGTATTTAATGTATATCTAAGAGTTTTATTATGTATTTGACAAGAAAAAATAAGTTTTTCTCTTAGGTACTTGAGTTTACCAGTTTATCGTTACTCTTCTACAAAGTAATCATTTATTGTTTTCGTTACTTTGATTACTATGAGTAGTATGAGTATAACGATTTGGCAACGTGCGCCATGTGATTAATGTCGAATTTGAACAACATCAATGGAACCGAGTCTTGTAAGAAAATAGACAACCTTAAAATTTGCAAAATTTTCCAAGCCTCGTTTATTTCAAATTTGCCGTGTTTAAGCAAAAATCGTATCTTCAAACTTTATGCAAAATAAGATGGATTATTATAGGACTCATATGAGCCTAAAAACTGAAAATATTTTGTATTTACTAGAAATGCTTAAAATTCGGAAAGGCAAGTAACTTTTCGAAGCATTTCAAATAAGCATGTGCCAGTATAAAAACTTCTACGTGGAGCTTAGTCTACACATACTATTGGTGGTCATACTCAATTATAAATTTTTAGCAAAATGTGGGACAAGTAAACACGAATCAAATTGACATAATTTTTATTATTGTGGTTTTCGTGAACGGTGCTGTTCTGGCTCATAATACTGCCGAACTTTGCTTCAATCCAATCGGCTCCTTATCCCTTTACAGGTTTCCAAGAGCACAACAATAAGAGCGAATTTGAGTCACGGTGTAAATAGAAACACTTATTTTTTTTTTTTGATTTGTGGACATCAGAAATCAATAACTGTTTTTAAATCTGGAGTTTCCAGGTTTCCCCCGAATGTGGGATGTCTGGCAACCATGATGCGTGAGCGGCAGTGCTCCAGTGATGCCTAAGATGGCAGAAACCAGCGTTGCCACCCAACGATCAACAATTGTAGGCGAACCGGGTGCGGATACGGAAAACAGAGTAATCAAAGTAATCATTTCGTGCTCAGATTGATACTCGTTACTGCGGATATCTAAGAGTAACGAATAGTTACTTTTTCAACACCTCTGCGAGGTATGGGGTGACTGCAGTGTGTCGAAGAATTGATGTTTTCTGAATATTTTTTCCGACTACTTATTTTTTTCTGAAATGCACATCTTTCTCATTATTTTGGGATGTTTCACAATGCATTGAGGCCCCCCTCGAGACGCTCATGTCAAATAGTCTGTATTTGGTGTGCCGTAGGGACTGAAAGCAAACTAACTACTAATTTTTCCTTCCAAAGTACTATTTCTTCTCAATGTTTCAAGTCTCCAGCCCTGGAGACCTTGCGGATTGTTTAAAACGTTTACTACAAAGACGACTAAACAGCGTCAGCCATGAGACACGATAACGTATAGCAGCTTCTCGTTGCGTGCACTCAAGGTCGTATAAATTCTCCCGAAAATTCAACCAATTCTCCCGGAAAATGGGGTGGGTGAGGGTTGGCTGAAAAGTTTCGACATAACAACGATAACGATAACAACGACATTTTTTCGACTTTTTTCTATTTGTCAACGTAGTCTCTTTGTAACTCTACATACTTCTCCCAGCGATGCTCCCTTTTCTGTAACCCGTCCAAATAGTACTCGGCGTTTTTCTGTGCAATGTTCACGAAGGTGATTGCCTCTTTATTTGTCGAAAATGTCTGTCCTCCGAGCACAATTTTTAAATGAGGGGACCAAATGAAGTCGCTTGGGGCTAGATCTGGTGAGTAAGGGGGATGCTCATGCAGTTCAAACCGTTATTCATGGATTTTCGTCATGGCTACCGCTGATGTGTGTGACCGAGCGTTGATTTGGTGAAACAGAATTTTCTTTTCCTCCAAATGTGGCCGTTTTTCCGCAAGCTCTGCCTTCAGCTTGTCAAGTAATGATACGGAGTATCCGCCTGTAATGGATTTTTCTTTTTAAGATAATCGATTAAAATAACTCCATGACTATCCAAAAAAAAACAGTCGCCATTTATTTCCCAGCCGAAAAAACAGTTTTTCCTTTTTTTGGGACCGGGTACCCTGTTGCAGTCCATTGTTTGGACTGTATTTTTATTTCGGACGCCTAATGGTGTATCTGCAGTAATTAATCGGCGCCAAAACTCGAATTTATTGCGCTTAAACTGCACCAACAGAGCGTTGGTAATGTTCATTCGAACACCTTTTTGGTCTGCGCAAACGCGGCACCCAACGCACTGACCGCTTTCTCATGCCTAAATGTTGGTTCATATTTATTTATTTATTTTTATTTATTTATTTATTTATACTCTACCCAACAGCTACAAAGCCAATTATAGAGTAGGACAAAGTCCAAATATCAAAAATACACAATATCTTACATATTACACACAAATGTAGGAAGTTCAATCACAAGGATACTATATACAAATGTTTACAAAAATGGCAGTCTAGATAAAAAATTAAATAGCAAATAGCAGACAAG